CACTTCTCTGGGCAACTCTCTGGGGCAACCAAGGAAATCTACTGTATGTTGTTGCAGGGGTGCCTGACAAGTCCAGCCTACAGAATCCACTTCTAGGGCTGGATTATCCTCTCCCTTACTGACCCACCTGCAGTCCACCTCTAAGATCTGCTGGATGTATCTTCAAAATGTTTTTTAAAAATCTGACTATTTCTGGCAGGGCCCAGTGGCTCAAGCCTATAATCCCAGCACTTTGGGAAACTGACGCAGGTGGATCACCTGAGGTCAGGAGTTCGAGACCAGCCTGACCAATTTGGCAAAACTCTTCCTCTAGTAAAAATATAAAAATTAGCCAGACATAGTGGTGGGCACCTGTAGTCCCAGCTACTCGGGATGCTGAGACAGGAGAGTTGCTTGAACCCGGGAGGCAGAGGTTGCAGTGAGCCAAGATCATGCATTGCACTCTTGCCTGAGTGACAGAGCAAGACTGCATCTCAAAAAAAAAAAAAAGAAAAAAAAAGAAAATCTGACTATGTCCATCACCTCTGCCTTCACTACTCTAATCTAAGCCACCAACATTTATTGCCAAGATATTGCCTTTATAACAATAAATAAAATTAACTCATCACTTCCACTCTTGACTCACTGTGACCTATCCTCTAGTTAAAAAGTGATCTTTTTCAAACAATAATCACATCATGCCTCTTCCTTTCTCAAAAATCTCCAAAGGCTTCCCATCATACCTTAACTCACATTCCAATTCTTTACCATTCCCTATGTTAATCTAGCTCCTGCCAACATCTCTAGCCTCAAGTTGTTCTCCCCTGTGTCTGTTTTGCTCTGGTTGCATTGGTTTCCATCACTAATTTGTGAGTGAGCCCAGCCAAGATCAGCAAAGCTACCCAGCCAAGATCCCTAAACGTGTGGGCAGTACAAGCTCAGTGTTGTACCTCACAGAGGCTTCCCGATGGTTTGTTACAAACACCATTTGGCAATAAAGAGCTAATAATTGGCCAGGCACAGTGGTTCATGCCTATAATCCTAGCACTTTGGGAGGCTGAGATGGACAGATTGCTTGAGCCCAGGAGTTTGAGACCAGGCTGGGCAACATAGCAAGATCCTATTTCTAAAAATTAAAATAAAAAGAGCCAATGGTTGACTTCCTTATCTGACTCCATTTGATGCTTGAATGCCTCCCACTGAAAGTGACTGTTCCTGTTTCATCATTTTCTATTTCTTTAGTTTTAAACTTTTAAATAAAATGCACTGTATTTTATTTTATGTTCTTTATCTTTTTTTACTTTCTTTGCTTTGCTTTAGTTGCTTTTAGCAGTTATTACTACCTAAAGCTATATCATATAATTATTGTTCCTTTTTTGTCAATCTCTTTCAATAAGCTCTCCTAGGTCGGGGATTTTGTGTTATTTATTACTGTCTCCTTAAGGTCTGTCACAGTGCTTACGCAGAGTAGGTACTCAGGAAATATTTGTTGAATAAAAGCCTGACATTAAATTCTTTTCAGCTTCAGGAGGCCTTCCCTGATTCCTGCTGATATGGCTTGACTGTGTCCCCATCCAAGTCTCATCTTGAATTGTAGCTCCCCTGATCTCCACATGTCATGGGAGGGACCCGGTGGGAGGTAATTGAATCATGGGGGCGGGTCTTTCCTGTGCTGTTCTCATGATAGTGAATAAGTCTCATGAGATCTGATGATTTTATAAAGGGCAGTTCCCCTGCACAGGCTCTCTTGTTCTGCCGCCGTGACGTGATTGAGGATGTGATTTTGCTCCTCATTTGCCTTCTGCCATGATTGTGAGGCCTCCCCAGCCATGGGGAACTGTGAGTCCCTTAAACCTCTTTCCCTTATAAATTATCCAGTCTTTGATATGCCTTAATTAGCAGCATGAGAACAGACTAATACACCTCCTACCAGCACTTAATGGTTAGGTGCTTCCCTACTATTCTAGTGCTTTCCTATCTCAGCTCTTTAATATTGACTGTTTATTTATCTGTATTCTCCTCTAGACTATGATTTTCTTGAGATCAGGAGCTCTATGTTGATCATCATTGTATCCCTAGAGCTTAGCAAAAAGCCCTGGTGCATGGCAATGGTCACTAAACATTTTCTGAAGGTATGAGTACCTAATCAGGATCTGGTGAGCCCATTTTGGGATGAATGACTATTACTATGTGCTAAAGGAGGAAGCAAATAGAGAGAAAGAGGTACAAAAAGGATAATAAGATGTCCTTATGGGCATTGGTTTTATTTGTACAGGAGTTATTTTATGAGCACTTTAAATTTTCGTTGGCTGAACTATCTACCCACAGATGATTTAAAATTGTCCCTGGAGAGTGAGTGACGCAGAAAAATGGGGATGACTGGTATTGATGTGTGTGAATTACACCCTTCAGAGATACTCAGCCGCCTGTATGTCAGTTACATCAGGCTCCTCCTCTTAGTTACTATATTTGGGGCATAGACTTGAATTCAGGAGGCTAAATATAGTGTCGAGAGCCCCAGGCAATTTATAGAAGACGTGGCCAAAAATTTATGTCGTATTTTCTATCAAGCTTTCATTTCAGCCTGTCCCTCATGTACTGGCTTTTTTGATCTGCTTTTATCTGGGTGAACCAGGAACACGGAACCTGCTATTAAAGATATCTTTACCTAAGGTTAAAAAACACCCTCACTTGCGACTTCCGGTGCAGAGCACATTTAAAGCAGGTTTTTTTGTTGTTGTTTTCAGCCTTCTCTTTATTTTCTTTCTTTTTCTTTTCTTTCCTCTTCCTCTCTTCCTTCTCTTTCTTCTTGTTTAAATGGGAGACTGAAGCCTCATTAGAAGAGTGGAAACAGCATCTGTGACAGTAATGAGATCACCAGACAGTGAGCTTCTCGTCTGAGGTTGGTGCTGAAGTCAGTCCCTATTCCAAAGGGCAAAGTAGTAAAACCAAGACTGGGCTGCCTTTGAGGAGTTTAAAGTGTTTATCCAGTTCTGGCAAAAGGCCCAAACTCATGGTGTTAAGATGCAATCTGTGCCACTCTTTTTTAAAACATTTTTTTATTTTATTTTTTTGAGACAGAGTTTCGCTCTTGTCCCCCAGGCGGGAGTGCAATGGTACGATCTCAGCTCACCACAACCTCCACCTCCCGGGTTCAAGTGATTCTCCAGCCTCAGCCTCCCGAGTAGCTGGGATTACAGGTGTGCGCCACCACGCTCAGCTAATTTTTTGTTTTTTAGTAGAGACGGGGGTTTCTCCATGTTGGTCCAGCTAGTCTTGAACTCCTGACCTCAGGTGATCCGCCCGCCTCGGCCTCCCATAGTGCTGGGATTACAGGCCTAAGCCACCATGCCTGGCCTGTGCCACGCCTATATAAAATACTCCTTGTTACTTAATTTTGTCCTCTATTATGCCACTTAATGATTGTGTTGCAATTTATCCGTATATATTTACTTCTACTTGTCAGTCACTCCCAGCAAAAAATCACTCCTTGAGGGCAACTTCCTTGTCTCATGATCTTTTCATTTTTTACTCAATGCCCCATATATTGTAGATGCTCATAAGATAGAATTAGTGTTTGATTTAAACACACACACACATCACACAGTTACAAGTATATGCTCTAAGTCTTCCTCTAAGCCTTTTTCCAAAAGGACCTCAAGGTCCTTTTAGAAGACTTGTAAGATGCAGGGGTGGTGACATTTGTCATATTCACATTTATTTTGCCTATTTGGCTTGTGCAAAAGAAAGCAAGATGTTAGAAAATGCCTGCGGATTTTCATAAACTTACTAAGACAGTGAATCCAGTTGTAGCATCTGTTCCAAATATAGTACCTTTGCTAATATAAACCTTGCAGTCCCTGGATATTGGGTATGAAGTGATTGACCCAGCAAATGCTATTTCTTCCACACCAACTTGCAAAGACTGCCAGAAGGAGTTTGCTTTTTCCTGGCAGGGCAGAGTATACTTTCTTAGTGAATGCGCAGGGCCATGTCAACTCCCTTACCATCTGCCATATTGTGTCTGCAGAGATTTTGATTATTTTGACATTCCAAAGAATAGCACACTAGTCCACAGCATTGATGTCATTGTGCTGATTGGATTTAGATGAACAGGGAAAATCGCACACTTCAGATGCCTTAGGAAGACATATGTGAGCCATAGGAGGGCAGATAATTCCAATTCCTAATAACCATTACTGTATCAGTTAGGATCCTGTCATAAAAACAGATATTAGTTACTTAAACAGACAGAATTTAATATAAACAATTGGTTAAACAGAATAGAAGATTTAAAAATTTTTTTGGCAGAGGTGGGCGGATCACCTGAGGTCAGAGGAGTTCGAGACCAACCTGGCCAACATGGTGAAACCCTGTCTCTACCAAAAATACAAAAATCAGCCAGGCGTGGTGGTGGGCGCCTATAATCCCAGCTACTCAGGAGGCTGAGGCAGGAGAATTGCTTGAACCCGGGAGACTGAGGTTGCAGTGAGCCAAGATGGTGCCATTGTGCTCAAGCCTGAGCTGGAGACTCTGTCTCAAAAAGAAAAAAAAAAATTTTTTTTTTTTTTTTTTTTTTGCAAAGATGAGGTCTTACGATGTTGACCAGGCTGGTCTTGAACTCCTAGCCTCAAGCAATCCTCTTGCCTCACCTTCCAAATTGCTGGAACTACAGGCATGAGCCACCATGGCTGGCCCAGGATAGAGAACTTAAATAGCTAAAAGGGAATCCTGATGTATCACAGAGGTATTGACAGCATAAAGCAGTTGTCACTTTTAGGACACAAAGGCAAGATGTTGGGATTATTGGAAACTAGAAACTTGGAGCAGGAACCTTCCAGGGGTGGTCTGAGCCTCTGAGGAGTTTCAGGACTAAGAGAAGGGCCCTAAAGAGTTGCCGTTCAGACTTCTGAGAAAAGAAGAATGAGATAAAGCACAGTGGGAAGTATGCTGGACACATGGTGGGGCCAAAAATGAAAATTCATTCAAGGTGGTAGAAAGATCAGTTTATACACACCATGTTGCAAAGTTTATTTGACTTGATTTATTTCAGGAATGGGATAAGGAAGTAAATATACAAGAGACGAAGACATTCAAGAAAATTGAAGATATATTTCATGCAGATAACTCTCACTTTTCTTATTCTACTTTGAAACCACTGTTGACCGATGAAAAACTTACTGAAAACAAACAGCTAGTCCGTGGAAATACATTTGCTGATTCCTGGAGTTGAGAGGCAGCAACACTTGGGCCCAAGATAACAGCAGGAAGTGCAGAGAAACTTCTCAGCCAGACTGAACTTAGTCCAAATCTCAGCTTTATCATAAGCTGTGATATTACTCAAGTTATTTAACCTCTGTACCTCAGGTTTTTTGTAATTGGGATAATTATTGCTACCATCACACGTTGAGTTCCACACAACTAAAACTGAAGTGCCGTCATGCCTCCAACGCTTACCCCATGCTTCATTTGGGGATTCTCTGCACCTAAATTATAATCCTCTATATTATCATAACCAAGAACAATCTGCCTATTTCTGATCCACAACACTTATTTATAACACCGCCTTTTTTTCCCCCAATAGATGCCTGGAGTTTGAATCTGTTTAGCATGAACTCCTAGAAATCCCTCACTTTCTTGGTGCACACCCGAATTTGGGAGACTCCAGATTGAATATCAGAAAGAGTTAAAAGGTTATCAGACATGTGATTGAAATTTTCCCCAGGATAAAAACAGGCAGAGTCTCAGTAAGACTAATAATACTAACAGTACAGGGATATCCCCCTAAGGACAACGGGGAAAGACAGGGAGATCTAAAATAAGATGAAAATATGGAATTCAGAAGATGTAGGTTTACGTAAACTTTAGAAAGGGAGTCAGAGAATAAGAGTTTATCAGCTCACTCTAAGCATTTCCCAAAGGACTGGGATTCCAATTCCAAGTGAGCAAAGTTTTATCCATCTGGAGACAGAAAGGGCCATTCTTTTGCTTTCCATAGCTGATTGGAAAACATCTCTGTGTAATTGTGTCCAGCTGTCTTCAGGCGTCTTCTCATTCTAATTTGCTTTCCTCAGCAGACTTGCATGCTACAAGGAAGTGCCCTCTGCTGGTGTAAGAGTTCATAGGCCAAGTCCTTCTCGCATTCTAATTTGGTGCCTTGTAATTGGTTTCCTGTTACTGAACAGTCCTGAGTGAGTTTGGGTGATAATATTACACGGAGACCTGAACTGGGGCAGGACCAGCATCAGAGTAATTAGGGCCAGCATTCCACATCAATAGCATATATGTGGCTAGGTTTGGGCGTTCCAAAAGCCCTTCTAATCCCAAATGACCTTTGCTGCTCGTCTGCTGTAATATCTGAAATGCTACCATTAAATTTATCCCATTAGACTATAGTTCCAAGAGTTACAAAAAGGTAAGTTCAATTCAACCTAATAAACTCTTACTGGTTGAACCTTTAGTTTAGGGCATTGCGATGGGTACTTGGAGTTAAAAAAACAAAAGGAAAAATTAAGATGACTATTAGGTAAGTTTATCTATCACCCTCAATAGCTGCAAAACAATTGTAAGATGCAATGAAAAGTTAATATATCCAAAAATGCCCAAAGGAGGCATAAGGACTCTTATGCCATAAAAATTCAAAGAACTGAGTGATTAGTAGGTGCTGGAATAGCCAGACATATGACTTCCATCAGGACTTCAGAGGTAAATAGCCCATTCGTGATGTTCATAAACAATTTGGGTTTCACTGGTGAGTTAGCTGTGCAGGCTCCTTGAAAAGAAAAAGATTTAGAATGAATTCAATGACACCGCTCAGGGAGTTACTAAATTAGAGAATAGCTTACGTGGGAGACCCCAGGACAAATACCTGGGGGCTGAATTGTGTGATAACCAAAAAGTTCCCAAGGACAAATTTGAAATTTGACTATTTGCACAGGGATGTCAGAGTTTTGTTGGATGGTACCCTGTGGATGCCCTGACATACCCGAAGCTCTGTTTGAAAAACGAACACAGTGAACAGTGAAATGGCCCTATGCATAATCTCGGAAAGTCCTTGGAAATCCTGATGTGAAAGGCAGACTGGAAAAGGTCATTTTTGAGATTTTCCCTCCCCTTCCCTCCCCTCTCTTCTCCTCCCTTCCCCTTCCCTCCCCTCCCTTCCCCTCTCTTCTCCTTCCCTGCCCTCCCTTCCCCTTCCCTCCTCCTCCTTCTCTCTCTTTCTTTCTCTCTCCACCCTCTCTCTCTCTTTCTTCGTTCTTTTCTTTTTTGAGGCAGAGTGTCACTATGTTGCCCAAGCCAGTCTCAAACTCCTGGGCTCAAGTAATCCTCCCGCCTTGGCCTCCCAAAGTGCTGGGACTGCAGGCACGAGCCACCACGCTCAGCCGCTGTTGAGATGTTATAAGCATATTGTTATGGAATGCAACCCCAAATTCATATATTGAAACCCTAACCTCCACTGTGATGGTACTTGGAGGTGGGGCCACTGGCGGGTAGTTGAGTTTAGATGAGATCATGAGGGTGGAGCCCCAGGATGGAATTCGTGTTTTTTATAAAAAGAGATTAGTGTGCTCTCCTGCCTCCCAACCCCTCCTCTGTCAAGTGAGGGTACAACAAAAAGACAGCCACTTACCAACCAGAAAGAGGGCTTTCACCAGGCACGAAAGCTGTCAGCAACTTGATCTCGGACTTGTCAGGCTGCAGAATGATGAGAAATAGATGTTTGTTGTTGAAGCCACCCAGTTTATGGTATTCATTATAGCAGCTCAAACAGACTAAGATGCAAAGCAATATAAAACACCCTGTGGAAAAAAAGAAATGCTTTCAATATTTTCTGGTGAAAAAGAACTCATAATAAGGATTTGACATTGTTTGACAGGAAGGAAGGCTTCTGTTTCTAGTTTTTTAGTTAACTTGACAGTGAAGTTCAAGTTTGACAGTTTAAACTTTCTTTGGGTTGAAATCATCATTGCCAGGTGGGGGAAGAGGAAGCAGGACCCACACAGGACTCAGGAGGGCATTTAGGTCATTCTACCCAGGCCATTGCCATTCTCTTCCTACTCCTCTGAAAGAAAAGGAGGCTTTGACGTCAGGCGTGGCTGAGTCATCTTTCCTCCCAGGGCCTCCGGCTGGGATTTGCAGGCTGTCTTTGCAGAAGCTATTCTGTTAGTCATTCACAAAAAGCATCCTGGGAAAGCTGAAGGGAAATGCTTGGATGGACAAGTGATTAAATTTCTATTTTCATGGCAGAGAACCTGCTGGCTTGCTCACAAAAGCAGCTGCATCCAGTACCAGGCACCTCAAGGGCACCCGGCAAATACTTGTGGATTCATTGACAAAAAGACCTGCTGGGTTCTCTTAAATCTTGGTGTCGAAACTGGATTTTCAGATACGATTATGTGGCTGGTAGATACGGTTTTGTGCCTGTTTACTTCTCTGCTCAAATGTCAAATCAAATTTATTGGGTTTACATAAAGAGGTTAGTAACATTGCTGGCCCTACTATCATGAACATTGTGAAAGGAAAATGAATAAGGTTTATCTGTAGGGGGACATGTGGGATTCAATGGAAGGAAAGTTGAACTGTGAGCTAAGAATGATTGTTTCTCTTTCTCCAGGAAGCCCTCAGCAATCATTTGATCTCTTTTGAGAATCTATTAGGGAAAAGAATAAAAATATCTCCTTACCTGCCAGAAATGCAGGGAAACAAGAATGAAGCAAAAGGAAGAGTATGAGTCCTACATCCTTCCAGCCTGAGACAGGATGTATCCTTATTGCTTTGCCTGCAGTGAACTGACAGGGAATCTGAGATGCATAGAGGCATGGTCAATTAGCCAGAGAAGTCTAGCAACTGCAGCCTGAGTCCCCTTCTCTTTTTTCTCTCTTAGGTGATCTCCACAGCTTTATATACCATCGACGTCCATGACTCTTAGATTTCTATCTCTAGTCCTTCTTCACATATGTAACTTTGTGCTTTATGCTTTAATGTGAAGGTCCGATAGGTATTTCAAACTTCACATTCGAACTGAAACTCATGACTTTCACCTCAAACATGCTCCTCCCTTGTCTCCCTTAGGAGGGACTACCGTTTACAGTTATCTAAGCCGAAAAGTCTAGGAGTTATCCTTGAATCCTCTGTTCTTTTCATCCCCCGTGAGATACAATTTGGTATTAAGACAAATTCTTTCTCTGTTTCCTTCTTTCTATTTCCACTGCCAATACCCTAGAATAAACCATGCTCCTTTCTCACTGGGTGGATAGCAGTCTAGTCTCTCTTATTTTACTCTTGACTCCTATTGATGCAGGAGTTAAGAAGAAGTTACTTAGACAGATAGTGAGGGTACTGGCGTCCTCGGTAGGATTTTTCTTTTTAATGAAAAGCAGCCCCAAATCATTTTCTAACAACTAACAGCCTGTAAAATCAAGCTGCAGACACAGACAAGCAAACTGAAAGCTTGCAGGGGTGAATCCCAGTAGGAAAGAACTCTCTGGGACTAGGCATGTTCAAAATGGCAGCTCCATCTTCCCTTCCCTTTGCCAGCCAAAGGAGATGGCAAGATAGCACCAGCCAAGTTGAAAGCCCATTTGCATAATAAGACAGGCAGGATGGTGGGGGGTGACAAGACTTCTCCGCATGCCGTGTAAACGTCACACGAGGTTGAACCAATCTGTGAGCGCTATGTAAATCAGACACTGCCTTCTCAAGCCTGCTATAAAATCCGGTGAACTCTGCTGACAACCAGTCTTTCCTCTCGGCAGCACTTCTCTCTCACTAGAGAGAGAACTGTTCTCCTTTCTCTGTCTTCTGCCTATTAAACCTCTGCTCCTAAACTCCTCATGTATGTCTGTGTCCTAAATTTTCCTGGCATGGCAGGACAAAGCCCGGGTATTTACCCCAGACAACGAAACCGCTTCACTATGATGTATGCATGCTGCAAAGGAAAGTTCGTATAACATTCTTCTTAAAAAATTATTCAGGCAATTTATTAAATATTGCCTATAAAATATTATGTATCAGTATTTTACAGAAGAGAACAGTGATTTATCGGTCTTCATAACAACTGGTCCATGCAACAATACTAGTAGTCAACACTAAGCTTAACTCTATTTTCAGACCAACCATGCAACATTAGAGGACATGTGGGATCTTGCATCCTAATTCCTAAATTTACAGTCAAAATGTTTTCAGAGATAAGTATTATGAAATCCATAAGAAGCTAAAGTAAGTTAGTTATTTATATTTTTTTGAGATGCAGTCTCGCTCTTGTCACCCAGGCTGCCACGCAATGGCACGATCTAGCTCACTGCAACCTCTGCCTCCCGGTTTAAGTGATTCTCCTGCCTCAGCCTCCCAAGTAGCTGTGATTACAGGTGTGTGTCACCACAGTGAGCTAATTTTTGTATTTTTAGTAGAGCTGAGGTTTCACCATGTTGGCCAGGCTGGTCTCAAACTCCTGACCTCAGGTAATCCACCCACCTCGGCCTCCCAAAGTGCTGGGATTACAGGCATGAGTCACCTCACCTGGTTCTACCTCTTCTTGAAGTTGTTTCCTTTCCATCTCTTAGATCTCAGCCCTAAGGTCCCTTCCCTAAGAAGGCATTTCCGGGTACCCTTTCTAAAGCAGCAGGCTCTGTGGCTCCCTTGGTCCTTGTGCGTCATATCATTGTTTAATTCCTTTGTAAAATTAGCCACATACTGAAATTCTCCAGCTTATTTATTTACTTGTTTATTATATCTCCACAATCTCCTGCTTCTTTCCAAGTAAGTTGTGACCTCCATGTGAATAAGGGCTTTGTCCTTCTTAGAAGAGGCAATTATGGAGTAGTGATTAAGCTCTCACACTCTAGAAACAGATTTTTTGGATTCATAGCCCAATTTTGCCACCTGCTAGGTATTTGATCTAAAATCATTGTTTGACCCCTCTGTTCCTCTCTGTTCTCATTAGTAAAATGATAGCAGTAAAAGGACCTGCCTCATGAAATTGTTGTAAAAAGATCACTCCCTGAAAGTTATCCCTGGCGCAATGCACATACTCAGCAAATGTTAGCTGCCACTGTTGATGACTGCAGAGTACCTGCTTAACCCTTATTAGTAGAGTGACCAGGCCGGGCGTGGTGGCTCATGCCTGTAATCCCAGCACTTTGGGAGGCCGAGGTGGGTGGATCAACTGAGGTCAGGAGTTCGAGACCAGCCTGGCCAACGTGGTGAAAACCCGTCTCTACTAAAAATGCAAAAGTTAGCAGGGTGTGGTGGCAGGTGTCTGTAATCCCAGCTACTCGGGAGGCTGAGGTGGGAGAATCGCTTGAACCTGGAAGGTGGAGGTTGCAGTGAGCCGAGATCGCGCCATTGCACTCCAGCCTGGGTGACAGAGCGAGACTCTGTCTCAAAAAATAAAAATAAAATAAATAAAGTAGAGTGAACAATAAATTAGTTTTATTTATTCAGGGAACACTTCTGCTATGTCACGGAGCATTTTTGAGAATACGCATAGGGGCTGAGAGAACAGGTGAGCTGTCCTCAGAAACCTCTTTGGATGATGGCTGGGTAGAACTGCAGCTCTGCAGAGAGAGATGCGAGCCAGTGTGTGGAAATGGAAAATGATCATAATAGAAGCCAGAGATTGTATTTTGTACTGATTCTGTGCTAAGTGCTGTGACCCATTTTTCTATTTTGCCTTTCAAAAATTACTAATCCATTTGTGTGAAGTTTATTATGAAACACTTCTTAGGGCCCCTGGTTATAGCAACCTTCCTGATACTACAGAAACGGCACACGACCCATTCTCTGCTGGAACACGCCTGAGCTTCTACTCCGTGCCTGGTTAGGAACTGCCCATCTTCAGCTCCCAAGTGGAATGGCATTGCCTCAGTGAAGCCTCACTTGACCCTGGCAGGATGTTCCAGATCTCCCTGGAGTATGTAGTTCTTCATGCCTTCTACCTTGCCTTTCTGGCATATATCACACTTTACATTAATTCGAATGACTAATCTGTCTTCAGAGTCTGGTTCAACAACAACAAAAGCCAGGAAACTCAAGACAAAAGAAACATTAAGCAGCATTTTAATGACCACTTGATGAAAAAAGTCATTCAGCACTTTGTTACTCTCATTAAAATGAGAATGACTTTTTCATTTTATTTTAATTTTTAGAGACAGAATCTTGCTCTATCACCCAGCTGGAGTGCAGTGGCACCATCACAGCTTACTGCAGCCTCAAACTCCTGGCTCAAGGGATCCTTCACTTTCAGCCTCCTGATTAGCTAGGACTATAGGTGAGCACCATCATGCCCTGCTAATTTCTAAATTTTTTGTAGAGATGGAGTTTTGGTATGTTGCCCAGGCTAAGAATAACTTTAATCCATCATGAGTTATACTACTGGTTTACAATTTTTGATTATTTATGCCAATGTTTTCCAGTAGGGCTTTGTAGAAAATTAACTGGAAGTCTGATGAAATTCAGAGTAAAAAAAAAAAAAAAGAAAAAAATCACACTGATGATATCTTGAAAAAAGTAGGGAAATGACCAAAAGAAGGTGCTGTTTTACCCACTCGATTTATGGTCTATGAAAAGCAGAACTGCTTCTGAAATCGCCTTTGCAAAATTATGACTGAGACAGTGAAAGCAATCTAACTTAGTTGACTCCATCTTGCTTCTAACCTCCAAGCTGTTCTTGATCATTCCTGGGTGTAAGCTAAACTAACTTTGGGAGAGACTCAGTTTATAGATTGTAGATTAAAACAAAGATGGTAACACCCCTTTCCCAAAGCAGAGTTCCTTCTTGCCTGGGGACTAGACTGCCTTTGTAGGACTAACAAATTAGCCACAAGATTAGAAATTAAGGTTTAGGAGTCATGCAGCTGGAGGCTACAAGATTCTGACCCCCACTAAACTGCTCCTAAGATCAGTGCTTGAGATATTTTGCAGAGCCTGCACTTGATGGATCTGCTGGCATCACCCAGATTGATTAACTGGCTCATCTGATCCTGTGGCCCCCACCCAGGAACTGACTCAGCACAGGAAGACAGCTTTGACTCCCTATGATTTCATTGCTGACCTGACCAATCAGCACTCCTGGC